GAATAAGAGTAATAATGGTAATCATGTTATCATGGAAATAGTAATAATAATATGAGCTATAGTCTAAACTCCTTAAAGGGGGGTTATATAGGGGATTATATAGGGGACTACTATAGGGCTTATTAAGGGGGCTACTAGGAGTTTAGACTATAGCTCATATGAAGAGTGTCGGGAAGAAGGCATGGCGCAGTGCTCGCGCAGGAGTTCACATTCCCGCGGTCTTGCCCTGCTGTTTGCCGAGCTCTTCGCGAGGCAGTCCGTGGGCATGCTGCCCGGGATTGGGGGGGATATGTGGGGGGTGTATACTACATATATATATATATAGATAGGGGTTATATAGGGATAATGGAAAAGAAAATGGAAACTACTATGATATAGGATTAAGGGTTCAGGGTTTAGGGGGTGCAGTGGGAGTGCGGAACTAGAAAGTGCGAAAACTGCTCACCGGCCCCTAAAACCAAGCTCTGAGATTTGGAAGTCCTGAAATTTTTGTGTTGCTCCGCGGGGTTTGACTTGGCTGCCCGCCACGGGAGGGGGGGGGGGTTTAGGGTTGCAAACGCCCTGAAACTGGTCCAGCCTCAGAGAATCTGCATTGGCAGTCACAGCAAGATTGATGAGAGACGTTCAACCTTTTTACGAAAGGCTTCATTTTGCAGTTAGCTTTGATTGATCAAGTTGAAGCAGTGCCGCAGTAGTAAATAATAGCAATAATATTCGTAGAAAGAATAATAGGATTAATAATAGTAGTAATACTAGCAATAGTGGCAGCCTGGGAGGCCATTTCAGCCTTGCAAGGGTGTGGCCATGACTTGGTGCCCTTTCAACCCCACAGCCTGGAGCTCGGTCGAGCCCCAATAATGGAGAATCAAATGGAAAAGAAAATGGAAAATGAAATGGAAACTACTATAGGGATTATAGGGTTTATATTGGGGTTATATGGGGGATAATGGAAAATAACATGGAAACTGCTATAGTATATTAGGGTAATACAGGAGTAATGGAAAAGAAAATGGAAACTACTATAGTATATAAGGGTTATATGGTAGTTTCCCAAAATACGGCGACCCCAATATAGACCCCAAAATATTATGATCCCTATTATAGGGGCCCCCAAAAATGGTACCCCTAATTTTGGGAAACCCCCATTTCAGTTTTGGTTGATACTAGAATCCTGCATGACCTGAATTTACTGTGGCATTATAGTTCCCAAGGTACGGTACCTAGGGCCATGCAGGCTTTTTAGTATCCACCGTATCAGAGAAGGTGATGGCATTGTGACCAGAGACATGTACTGGGACCTGAACGCATCCTTCTACATCTCCGGGGCTCCCTACGCGGACAGCTAGGGTGATGATTCACGGGCCCATCCCAATATTCCCTCTAATAAGAGTGGAACACATATTGGGAAAGTGTCTTCTGACTCCTGAGAGGACGTGAAAAAAGCTGTGGAACGCGCTAAGTCGTCCACGAAGAGAAAAGACAGGAGCGATGATCATATTCGCAAGCTTGTACTTCCCCCGTACCGTTGCTGCAAAAGATGTCTTTCCTGCGTGCTTAAGGCATGATTTTTCGATCAACTATGCAGGCATAGCTTGCGCTTCAATTAAGGTGGGCAGCTCACGATGAGCCAGTTCATCCTGACATAGCAGCGCAAGCTACAGGCTAGATTGCCTGATCCGTTGGCCGATTGATGTGGAATGCATTTTGATGCAAACTATCAGGACCCGAGGAGAAGTGGGACAGCAAGGAAATCCAGCATGCCGGCGCATGGGGTGGCAGCTGCCTGGGCTACGAAAGGATTATGGAAAGACGTGGCTTAGCATCCAAGCAGAATGCTTCGAAAATTCAGATTCGCGCGTGGCTCGGGCAAACACGTCAGCGGCCCACTCGGTCGATTGAGGTGACGCACTGCGCAACAAGTTCTTTAAGGTGCGTCCTCTTGAAGTTAGTATCCATGTGCAAGCAGTGCGCTAGCCAGCAAGCACTTGAGTTATTGCTTTCGATGGCAGGCCTGGGAGAAAGCTGGCCTGGATGTCCTCCTGTGTCCAGTTTATCCAACTCCTGCTCCGCACGTTGAGGAGGCAACTGTAATTTGTGTTTTTGACTCAACACCAAACATGAAGCTGCCAGCCTGACATGCACTTGCCTAACGCGAAAAATACCACTGCAGGTAAGAAGTGCTGCGCCTGGGATGCATGCCAGCAACTGCTGCTGTTGCAGTGATCGTCGGGTTTGAGCAGACTTACACGCCGTGTTGAAAGCTTTCAGAAAAAAAGCTCTACGGCATTGCTCAAGTGATGGCTGATAGCCTTCCGAGGTCCAGACTATCATTACAACGCGCATCTTCAACGTCCTTGACATGCCAGCTGGTGTTGTCACCGTGACCAAAGTCCAGGACTCCGACTCTTGAAGGCAGGCACATTGCAGTAGCTGCTAACGTGAGGTACACATTTTGAAGCCCCAGTCCTGACATCTAAGGATGTGGCCCAGACTTACGACCCAGGCATTGAGAATCCCGATATTCGTAGAGTCACTTGCCTGTAGTATCATCAGCGTGCATGTCTTCCAGAATCGAACGGGCTTGATGCTGAAAATTCCTGAGATGGCAACACGAGCTGCGCAAGATTCTGGGTTGCTGTTAAGGAACTTAATTTAAGTTACCATAATGGGTATATATATATAGTAAATAATAGGGTTTCCCCAATATAGTAACTTAATGTAAGCTCCTTAAATCCCTATATTTCCCTCAGTTTCCATTTCATTTTCCATTTTCTTTTCCATTTGATTATCCATTATTCCCCTAAACCCTAAACCCTAAACCCCTTAATTTAAGTTCCTTAACAGCAGCCCAGGATTCCGTTGGACTTCCAATAGCTCTGCAGCTGGTCGCATTGCCATGGAGGGAGGAGCTCTGCCTCCGTGCCATGAGTGAGCTGGAGCGTGCTATGCCATTGCAAGGTGCCATTGGGGGATGAGGGTAACTATAATGGGTTTATATAGAGTTTAGGGATATTACCCCAATAATGGAGAATCAAATGGAAAAGAAAATGGAAAATGACATGGAAACTACTATAGGGTTATAGGGTTTATATTGGGGTTATATGGGGGATAATGGAAAATGAAGTGGAAACTACTATAGGGATTTAGGGTTATATTGGTGTTATATGGGGGATAATGGAAAAGAACATGGAAACTACTATCATGGGTAATATGGGTTGGTTGGCAAAATTATGGTTGTTCGTGTAGTGTCATGGGGCAGGAAACACAAAAAGCAAGACCAGAAAGAACCTGCAACTGGAGCATCATGTGAAGGCTCCCACCACCTGCTTCGACCGGAGCCCAGGTGCAGGGCTAGTTTGCCAGTCTTTCTTGCCACGGTCCCTCTCCTCCCAAGCACGTCTCATGTTATATCATTCTGTTATCGCGAGCTGGGCAGGCGCAGCCCAAGCTTAGGAGCGGCTCCTGAGAGGCTTGCAAAAGCCAGGCTTTGAGCACAACTGAAGCGCTGGACAAAAAGAAGCCTTGACACTGGTGGTTAGTGTTCTGGCTTTTGCCTCATCCTGATCAAGTCTTAGACCTTCAGGCCTTGGAACTGCAACTTGCTGACAGCCAGAAGGCACATCAAGCCCAGCAGGAATAGTTTTGCGGCCTGCGTTTGTTCCACAGCCTATATAACCCCAGTTTCCATTTCATTTTCCATTTTTCTTTTCCATTTGATTCTCCATTATTGGGTACCATAGTATCCCCCAAATTGAATACTAGTTGTATACCCCAATATACTACAGTAGTTTCCATTTTCTTTTCCATTATCCCAATATAACCCCAGATAGCCCTAATATACTACAGTAGTTTCCATTTTCTTTTCCATTATCCCAATATAACCCTATAAAATACTAGTTGTAGAGCATCTGCTGGCTGCCATGTGCAGGCCCTGGAGGAGCTTCGCAAGGAGAACGAGGCCCTCAGCAAGGCGAGGACACTCGAACAGACGCAAGTTACTATAATGGGTTGCTGTTAAGGAACTTAAATTAAGTTACCATAATGGGTATAGGGTTTAGGGTTTAGGGTTACCACAATGGGTATATATAGTAAATAATAGCCCAACAGAGACTCTGACTTTCTCTCTCTGTTTCTGTTTGTTCTTTGTTTCGCACTCGCTGTCTGCGGGTAAGCTAAGCTTGGCAAAGGATTTGCTTTGTGTACACTCTTATAAAGCGCCCGATGGGTTCTCGCCAGGGTGGGTCTTCGAAGTCTTCCAGCCGAAGCTGGGTCCTGGACGTTGCTATCGGGGAGTGCGAGTTTGCAAGTGCAAGCCCCTACTGATCAATGCGACCTGCATGTCTTGTGCTGTTTGACATGCGGCAGCTTGATAGGCTGCGAGAACCTCCATATATACCTTATGATATAGTTTTCATTTTCTTTTCCATTATCTCAAGGTCTGCCGTGTATAACCCCAATATATACACCCTAGAGACTAGACCTTAGCAAGCAAGAAGGTGCCTTTGCCTACTTCCTGGAAGTGCAGATTGAGGGTCACGCAGAAAAGCCCTCGTCCAAGCATGTGCAAGCCTGATATGACTGTATAGATTTTGGGTCATATAGGGGTTAAGGGTTTAGACTGTACATATATTGGGACTATATAGGAGATTGGACAAGGAAATGGAAACTACTATGTTATAACTAGAACATGTTATAGAATATATTGTGATCTATGATAATATACTATAATATCGAGGTTCTCTGCAGAACCTCTCCAAGCTTTTCTTGACAGGCGTTGTACAGACGTTTCCTCGCCCTCCGAGCGGCCGGTCTTTGCAAATTCCAGCCTTCTGCTTCCAAGATGCACCCGGCACACACTTGAGTTATAGTCTCAACTCCTAGTATCACCCTTCATGAGCCCTATAGTATAGAGTTTAGGGTTTAGGGTCTAAACTCCTAGTATCCCCAAATAAGCCTTAAAGTAGTCGCCTATCTACTTCCCTATATACCCCCCATTAAGGAGTTTAGGCTCTAGCTCACTTGGAACCCTAAACCCTACACGCTAAATCAGTTGTTTCAGAACATGTCCTGGCTATAGCCAAGGTTGGCCGTAGGCACCGACTTTGCCGAGGAGAAGCTTCAGGCCTCTGTGTATGATATACACATGGCAGTCTCCCAAAATAGGGGGATCCCAACATAGACCCCCAAAATATTAGTATCCTGTTTATGGGCACCCCCAAAAAGGTACCCGTGATTTTGGGAAACCCCCATATATCTGTCCAGGCTTTCAAACGTTGCAACTTTGAAGCTTCCGAGGTTTCCGCGTTTCTAAATGTCGTGGACCCATCTTCGGGGCAACCTGCTGCCGTGCCCCCAGATGTAGAGTTTAGGGATTTAGGGTTTCGGGTTTAGGGATTTAGGGATTTAGTGTTTAGGGTACAGGGATTTAGGGTTTTTGGGATTTCGTGTTTAGGTTTAGGGATTTAGGGGATTTAGTGTTTCGGGTGTTGGGATTTAGGGTTTTAGGGGTTTAGTGTTTAGGGTTTAGGGATTTAGGGTTTAGGGTTGGTCCAGCAATATCGCCTGAGTAGCATTTGGACTTCAACAGGGGTGATAGTAGTCTCCAATCTAAGGTAAGGTTTTACTCCATGACAGCAAGAACATAATTTTTACGACCCCTCACAGCTATGGGAACCCCCAAACCCAATGTTAGTGTTCTTTCCATGTCATCTCCATTATTTGGGGAATATGTGCATATTTATATATATATACACATATACATAGCTCTCTCTCTCTCTATCTATTTGATCCTAAACCCCAAACCCCCTAAACCCTAAACCCCCTAAACCCCCTCAAGAAGAAGCAGCCAAGGCAAAGCTACTGGGGACGGGACTACTGTCGCTGCAGGAGTTGAAGGTGCCAGCGCAGTTTGTCTCAGATCATGGGTCTTTGTCAAAACAACTTCTATAAAGTCCTGGGTAAAGGCATATGTACTATAAGATACTATACAATATATTATATAATATACTATATACTATACTATATATACTATGATAGTAGCTTCCATTTTATTTTCCATCATCCAAATATAACCCCTATATAACTCTCAGGCCCAAAAAGTCATTTTGGTCATTCCCTGTATGCCCCTCCCCAGAGGCCTCTGCTTTGAGGAACTGCCGGAGACGAGTAGTTTCAGCTCATTGCCTCATGGCTCTTAGGATTACATAGGGGTTATATGGGATAATGGAAAAGAAAATGGAAACTACTATAATGGGTTATATTGGGATTATAGGGTATATATTGGAGTTATATTGGATAATGGAAAATCAAATGGAAACTACTGTAATAGTATTTTACATAGTGTATTATAGTACATATGCCGAAGCTGTGTTCTGGATGTGTTGGTTGCTGCTCAAGCTACATGGCTTCTCGCACAGCTATAGCTCACTTGAAGCACCTGGGTCCAATCTGGACAGCTGTCCTCAGAGTACACATCACCTAATGATCGCACGCACGCAGCGCCGTTTGCGCATAGCATGGTCTGAGCCCTAAGCTGCTCGGCTCGCCTACCCACGAGGCTGAAAGCTATGCTGGAGAGACGCAGAAAGGGAGAAGCAATAAACAATTTGTGAGCAGCAGGGTGCTCGTACCAGCTAGACGACTGCATTGCTGATAGCCGTGAGAGCAGAAGCAGGTTAGTACCGTCGTTGTTCAACGCTGCCATAATATGAAACGGTCAAACGTGCGCGCCAAACTTGCTGGAGCAATCACGGCTAGCAGTGAGCAGTACTCAAGAGTGAGGGGTGCACTGGGCCCACCAACGCCTAGCTGAAAGAAAGAAACAGCCGCGTCCTTCGTTAACGGGTTTCCTGCGTGCTCAGAGAGGCACCCCTTTGCATGGACCAGTCCTTCGCATGGCATGGGCCACCAGCTCAGAAGGACGCGGTTATGGCATGGCTAACAGATCCAATTAGACAAGGTGAACAACAACAAGCGGAACGCTCGTGCTTTGGTAGCACATGGGCGCTGGAGTTGCCGACAATGTTGGTGGCATGCTACCAGTCGCGAGGCTTCAATCCGAACCGCCGCGATGACCGGCTGC